ACACAATACACTGACAATAGGACAATATGACACAATACACTGACAATAGGACAGTATGACACAACACACTGACAATAGGACAATATGAGACAATACACTGACAATAGAACAATATGACACAATACACTGACAATAGGACAATATGACACAATACACTGACAACAGGACAATATGACACAATACACTGACATTAGGACAATATGACACAATACACTGACAACAGGACAATATGACTTAATACACTGACAATAGGACAATATGACACAATACACTGACAACAGGACAATATGACACAATACACTGACAATAGGACAATATGACACAATACACTGACAATAGAACAATATGACACAATACACTGACAATAGGACAATATGACACAATACACTGACAACAGGACAATATGACACAATACACTGACAATAGAACAATATGACACAATACACTGACAACAGGACAATATGACACAATACACTGACAATAGGACAATATGACACAATACACTGACAACAGGACAATATGACACAATACACTGACAATAGGACAATATGACACAATACACTGACAACAGGACAATATGACACTATACCCTGACATAAGACACGACAGGAATATGCGCTGAATGGACAACAAAATAAATATGAGCATTATTTAAATAAAATATATCTCCCCCTTCTGTACCTCTCCATACTTCTAAGTGTTGTTGAAACAAACAAAAAAATCTTAAATTTAAGCAGGTTAGTGTCATGTTTACCTTAAGCACTCTATCAAAATGCAAATAAGATATTGAATTACAAAAGCAAAAGAAAAAAGTTGATTAAAAAAATTGCAAGCAAATATTTATTTTAAAACTTCTATGCAAATGTTTATTAAAAAAAATTACTTGCACATTTTATTTTAAAAAAAAATCATGCATATTTTGAACCTTATGATCTAAACGTATAAAAGACCATTATCCCAAACTGTATGTTGCTTACACACTGATACTCCATGTACACGTTTGCTTACAGACAAGCACCAGCTAATTAAGACAATTTCTGAAGGTTGACCTAACCCAGACAGGAAGTGACGTCATCAACACGTCTGCAAGTGGCAATTCCAGACAACCTAATTCCATGGAGCCGGCTATTTAGATTCGCGAAACGTGAAAAAAAAATCCTCCTAGAGAGATTGTGTAGCAGTTATAAAAAAAAATTGCGAAATAAATAAATGCTGTCTTAAAATGTGTTCGCAATGTGCATGAGAGAACGCATCGGAAAAGATAAGTACCGGACCTTACTTTAAGTCTCAGCGCTATGAGAGACAGCAGATTCATGGTCCTAGGTTGACAAAGATTTTCTTTTCTCAGTCGTTATTTATAGTAGCCATTAAGTCTTACTTAATATAGCGTGCTGCATCAAAACGTCTCATTATGAAACACCTTCGTGAAATCTACTACGTCAATGGGGTCAGTGACGAAACGGTCCCGAAAATCGGACGCCCGACAAAAAAGCTTTCAACAAAAAGGATCCGGTACAATTTGTCTCCCGACTAAAGCGCCCCAGAAGTTGGTTTATAATATGAGTTCCATAGATGACTAGTAGATTAGATGCTTCTATTTATTTAACAGATTCTTTGCGATAACCACAAACTAGTTAATAACAAATTTTTATTTCAAATCTTTCTTTTATATTATTGAAAACATTGTAAGAGATTGTACTGGAACAAAATTTCTAAGAAAAACTCAACACCAGCTCGTAGAATTAACAGCTTAGTCGCCAATGTTAGCACCATTTCTGGGAAATAACATATTACATCGAAACACACAGATAAGAGTGTTTTTGTTTAAAAATTTAAAGGGAAATTTAATGGTAAGCTGGGGTTTCTTTTTTTAACTGGATTTTTAACTGACGTTTATTATATTGCTTTAAGGAGTTAAAGTAGCAGGAGTATCATCTGTTTGTATGTGTTTCATCTCTGACCTTTAACGTTTAACACCATTACCACACTTGTTGGTCTTTAGACATGGAAAGAAGTGTTGTTAACATTTAAATACTGTTTTTAATAATTTAAACTGCGATATTTCTGCATTATTTGCAGAAAACGTAATAAGTAATTCTCCGCATACACTCAAAACGTTTTCTCAGCTAGGATCACCACAAACAAAATACTAATTAAAAAAAAACCACAACACATGAGCTTAACAGTAACCCTTCATCAAATTCATCTCTTCGAAAAACATAATTTTAACCTAGTTCTACTTTAACTTTGCCTGACATAGCATTAGAAGGAGAGGATTCACAATTGAGAGTCAAATTGTACCAAATTTGTACCAAATTCTTATAGAACTAGACCAGTTTCATTTACGTGTTCTCACTAGTCACTGCTTAAAGCTCTAGAGTTGCCTGATAAAAATTCCCACTAGAGTTGCCACCAAAAATTTCCTCTACAGTTGCCAGATTAAAATTCCTTTTAGAGTTGGCAGACAAATATTTCCTCTAGAGTTGCCAGATTAAAATCACCCTAGATTTGCCAGATAAAAATTATCCCCCTAGATTTGCCAGAAAAAAATTATCCCCCTAGATTTGAAAGATAAAAATTCCCTCAAGATTTGCCAGATAAAAATTCCAACCATCCTTACCCTCTCGTGACAGATTTATCTGTCTGTACACATCCAGGTATGTTGTACACAGAACGTCACTTCCGCCATCTCACAGCCTAATGGACGACTTCTGTCATTTCAAGATCTTCCTGGCTGGTTAATTTCAACCAAGTCATACACACAATCCTAATTAATGTACGGAGGTGCATACGTGCTTGATTTATGCAAAGTCGTGCTTTCTTAATTAATTTTTTATAAATTAATTATAGAATAAACCACAAGGACACGGACGAAACAAACATTCATAATTAATTATTTTAGAAGGGATGGTATGGTCAAAGGTGAAATCAGGGTAGGGTGAATTTGGCACACTTTAGTAGACATCTAAAAAGTATATACATACATACATACACACACATATATAGGCCTATATATATATATATATATATATATATATGTGTTTGTGTGTGTGTATGCGTGTGTGTGCGAGGGAGTGGTTCGACCCTGACTTACAAGAAGTACTAGGTTTCAAATCCTTCTTTTGTATAGAGTCATTTCAACTACATCACGAGAGGTAACAGACACACGAAACCTAATGGTATATTTGTAACTTAGTCGGTTAGTTTGGGCATAAAATATCTCCCGTGATCTGAGGTATTTGATGATGTAATTCATTAAAAAAAGCAAACTTAGTCTTTCGGATATCCTAGGAAAGTTTGTATTCTCGGTAAGTACATACGTTAAAACATAAACTATTGTGTGGTAAACAAGCACGATTGTTATTAAGTTAAACATGAAATTCAACTAAATAAAAGAGGACCAAATAAAATCCATCAAATTTAGTTTAATCGAAGCCCTTTGATTTCGCTTACAAATATTACAATATTACATAATATACAACTTCAGTAAAATAATACATTTCAAAATACATTTAATTAATGCAAATTCATCGCACATACGGCCTTTAGTAATGCATAATGTATGGAATATTTAACCCCGAGAGTTTTAATACGACGTTCATAAAACAATAAAGAATTTTGTTCAAGCTATAAAACTTTAAACTTATTGAAAATTTTGATGTCAGTGTTAAACATTTCTTTGTGGACTAACAAGCACAAACAAATCGTACACACCCAGCTAGTTGTATACACAATAAGTTATAATGTAATCTACACGCTGTTAGACCTTGTTCCTTAATTCAGACATTCAAATATCGGGACAAGCTCCCATGCTGATCTGTGTTGTCTGAGATAGATGTTGATTGATAGCTAACATTCACCTCTAGAACTGCTGCCATTTGCTGCCCGTCTGTTTGACGTACACGAAGCTATTTTTAGAGATGGGCATCCTCCCCCCCCCCCCCCACTGAAACACGTCATGGCCTTGGATAAGCCATGTTTTTTTATAAGTACATATAAATCAAGATTTTCGTTTTGTTTTAATGTCACTTCTTCTCTTCTTCTTAATCCCGTTCGTGCCCAAGACACACGGGGCATTAACCTCGGTATATGAAGGGATAATGTGGCTAGCACTATGCCCAGCCGCCTTTGTTTCTCTAACGTGGGTTAGGTATCCATCAGAGCTGGGTGGACTCAGGGACAATCAACCGACTTCAACCCGGATTCGAACTTCAGAATCTCGGATTAGCAGTCTAGTTCTCTACAGCTAGGCCACACCTAATCGCACCAACGTGTAGTAAAGAAGAACTCTAGTAAAGTAATTGGCAAACGAATGGTCGCTTCGTGACGTCCTAAACCCTATTATCTATTATCCCTTATATATCGAACATTTAGACCAATATTCAATCACCAGATCCTATGTATCATTACACAGAAACTAACAAAAGTTTTCAACACAAACACACACTCTTGTAGTGAAAACAATGAATACAGTTTACGCGAACACGCACTCTTTATAGAAGGAATATATGCAGAAGTTTACAAAGTAAGAATTACATAACTCTATACTATTGAGCAACAGCAAGTTTAATAAAGGATTTTCCAATTTTGATATGATGCACGAGTCAATAGACTCACCTGAGTCCACTCAACGATAATGGGTACCCGAATCACGTTAGGCAAAGTTAAACTGGATGGATATGCAACTTCACACACTATTCATTTTTATGCCTAGCCTTCTAAAATTGACGAACTCTACTTCATCTGCCCTATTGACCCCACCAAATCCTAAATGGTAAATTCACTTTTCAATTTGAACAGAATTCGAAATTACGATAATGAAAATTAAAGTCAAATATAGCAATTAATTAAAAATTCTACAGTATTTTAATAACATATATTGTGCTAGTTCTCTAGTGTTTTTGAGAAAAGACATCTCGAATAAAAGAACTCACAATGTGACTAAATAAATAATTTATTATAAAAAAATTAATAACAAAAAAAACAGAAAAAAAACGTACCTGTCTTGTGTTAACTCCCCTGATAGTCCATACTTTAGCACTGCTAGAGTTATCGTCAAATCCGCACGTAAATCTTCCCAGGGGTCACCACAGGTCACTGAGGTCACTAGTGGTCACTCGGGTCAGTTAGTTAAAAAATCTCACACATAACACTGCACCATGAAACACAGTGGTAACACTAAAGTATGGTAAAGATTAAAAATCTTTTCAATTTATTAGTGCTCTCGATTCGATTATTTTTTTTTCTAACTTAAATTTCATAAAAGCTACCTTCTTATTTGTTTCGAAATGAATTTCTTTAATGTAAAGTCTACTACACAATTGATTTGAAGAATCAACCAAAATGACTAGGCTCACAGATTATGCATTTCTAACTTCAAGATTAAAAAAAAATCTCTTTCACGGAACAAAACTTAACGAAACACAACTATCATTACGAGTATGAACCTCGCTAAAGAAAATTTGTGTTAGGCTAGACAGAAAGTGCTACAACTAGATATGCTTAAAGTTTGTCGTCTAGTATCCTATGTCGATACAAAACAGCCTAGCATGCCCCCAAGCTAAACTGCCGTGAGCCTATGCTAAATATACTTTAACAATTATCGGATAATATAAAGTATATAAGGACACGGACAAAAATGTCCTTGCTCCAAAACGAGGTTGGGCGTGATGAAGTGTCTGTGTAATAAAGCACGGTCTTAAAATATAAATTTCAGTCATGTTTTTTTTTTAAGGGACCGTATTGTTAGCAGCTACTAAAAGGGGGTAATAATTCTTACCTCCCTTGACAGGATAAGGAAACGTCACTCTCGATGTGGTGTGGTCACACCACAAGTAGGTTGAATAACAAGAGGTGTGGGGGTGGGGGGGGGTGTTTGGGGTGGCGGAATAAAATGAGGAAGGGAGTGTCGTATTATAACAATAGAGGTAGAATAAATTACATGTAATTCCTGCTTTTTGGAACCTGACCGGTGAAATAATAGAGCTCTTACTGTATTCTCTTCTAGGCTAAGTATAGTTTAGTGGGGTGTTCTTTGGCTGTAGATCTAGGTTTTAAGGTTAAGGTAGAAAAAAAAAACAGGTTAAGAATATACTAAAGAAGTAGTTAATACTCCAAAAAGGAAAAAAAAACCCAACTAATTGTAGAGAAAAGTAAAGTAAAAAGTAAAATCTCCCCTTTTAAACATAGGGACCAATTGGGAAAAGTAAAGTAAAAAGTAAAAATTCCTCTTTAAATCTGTGTATCAAGTGGGCAGATGAACTCGGGATGTGATCATCACTATGCACCACAGGTCATCAATTTCCCCAAATAAGTCAGGTATCCAAAAGCGGTGAGTGGGTATATGGACTGGCCAACAGTCACAAGTCCGATCCAAGATACGAACACAAGAGCTTTGGGCTAGAAGCCAAACACTCTACCACTAGACCACGCCGTCCCATACTTACAGAGAGAAGAGAAAGAGAGAAATAGAGTTGGTAAAGATCAAGAGAACTGACGATTTTCAAATACAGAAAAAAATAGCTGAAATACTTTATAACAAAAGGGAAAAATAAAGTATTGAAAAATAAGAAAATATAATTGTAAAATCCAGTGTTGCTTTCATGGATCTCTTCGGAGGGGTCGAGGGGGCAGTGCCGATCCCCCTACCGAAGCACTTTACCCCCCCCCCCCTCCAGCACTTCCGAACGAAATATAATTTATGTAGAAAATATAAACATTTACCAGTGTCCGTCCCTCCCACCCCCGGAAAATTTGTAACAATCACTGTCCCGTATTAGATTTTAGGTGGTGGCACCGTTTAGTTGATGTGAAAGTCAGGCTCCTCTATACACCTATCGATCCATTGGACAGGTGAAGTAGAGTTCATATGTTTCTTGAAGGGATGGTGTGGCCAGCATCATGCTAATCCGCCTTTACTTTCCCCAACGTAGGTCAGGTACCTAACTGAGCTGGGTGGACTCAGACCTTCAGTCACACGTCCCAACAGAGATTCAAAACCAACGTTAACTATTTGACCACGCCGTAACAACACTTGATGGAGAAAACAGTTAAATAAACCCGGAAAGAATAGTACCATTCTAATTTCTTAACTTCGACTGTGCATAATTTAGTAACGCAGCTAAAATGATCTTTATTTTTCTTTTTCTAATACGTTTAGGTAGGCGCCCGATCGGGCGTCCCACCTGCCCTCCCCTATCCATACCTCTATCGTCTATGATAAGATCTTTAAGTACAAAGTTGTAGGCCAATTTACTGACATAAACTACACATACTCTAAACTGTCAGCAGGTATTTGATTTAGATTTGTAAATATTTCTAGAAAAAATAATTAGTTTTTAGTGGAATAGTTTTTTAAAAGGTCAAAGCGTGTTAAAAAATACCCAATGCGATAAATGCAAGATAAATTTAATTCAGCTGATGTATGGCTATCTTTCCTGTGCAACTTGGGTCACGTTAACCTGCATCAGAGATCCAGGAAAAAACTGGGCGTAGTGATATATCGCCCCCAATTAATGTATCCTTCCGCTGCGTTTTAAGATTTCTTTTAAATGGGAAGAATTAATGACTATTCATTAAGATTTATGCAATTTAAGAACAAAATGTCTGTAGTCACGATAAACTATAAAATCTGAATTAAAATTAAACGCTGCACATTCAACTATAGAAACATCTAAAAAAAAGTAATTATTTGAGTTTTAATCCTGATCTTACACTACATGGGAATATTTTAAACTAACTGTCCAAAGCACAAGTGTAAAAATTGCATAGCAATCACAAAAAATCCGAAAACAGAATTTACACAAAACCAATCTTAATAATAAAAAGCTAATTGTAAATGACGAGCTAAATTCGCAATTGTTTAATTTTAAAACACTTAGTAAAGATAAAATGTGTATAGCGGTTTTTTTTAATTTAGAGAGATTAAAAAAAACAAAAAAACACCAAATCTACATGCCTAGAAATCGTGCAATCAAAAAGTCCTACACGGAGAAAAACCAAACGAAACGAAGCACTTCTCTAGCCTCGCTTTGATTAATGGCCACACGCGCGCGTGTATCATGTCGCATTAAGCAGGCGCTCTGTAGCAGATGTAATTGCGCCAGTATCAGTTGCGGTCAAAAACTAGGTTGAAATTTGATAACTGCAATTGCATAAATGCAAGGCGTGTATTTTTGTGTGTTTGAATTTTTTTTTTTATTTGATTGATTCTGTAAATGGGTCAGCCTGCTTATTGAATTAAGTAAATATTTACCGTCGTTACATTACTGCTATCGTAGAGTATGGCTGGAGATACTCAAATTCTGCTCATTGCTACAGCCAAATGTCTTATTTTTAAAAAAAATGGACGAAATAAGAGGTAACAGTTTGGTCTAAAGTAGAAACAATTGTACACAGAACAGTAGAAATAACTTTACGCTCATTTATCATATTGTAGTCGGGACCAGGTTCCGAACTCATGCCCCTCGGGTTAGAAGGTGCGAGTTCTACCTCTACACCACGACGTCCCGGAATGTGTCTTCAAAACCAAAGAGAGCTATCGAATAATTGTCCCATAGAGAAAAAAATTAAGATTTATTAAATAATTAATAAAAAGAAAATGTGTATAAACATGACATGCCTTTATTTATATTATTTAAACTATTCTAACACATGCTTGCTGAGACGTTCGCCTTTAATAAGGCCGGGGTGTTCGTTAAACGGGACAAATGGCTTTAATATCGTCACGTGTTCGTAAAATGGAGCTCGTAATAAAAATGGACAACGTAATTATACATTCCGTGGAAGTTCTGAGGGGCGTGTATGATGTCTCTTTGTGTTCATGTAAATAGCTCTTTTTTTGGCTATAGAGACAACCGATTCGCCAAGGGAATCTATGGCTTGTACAAGGGCATTAGATGAAGAGATCATAGATTGCCCATGCGTCCTCCTTCTCTCCGCCTTAGCGCCGGTGTAGTCCAGTGCGTATCAGCTTCAGTTGCAGAAACTACCGCAAAAAATCCAGAGTGGGTAATCCTATCGACCAAAATTCTTCACTCCTGTGAGTTTTCTCTACTAGATACGTTGCTGTTCCACGTTAGCGAACCGCATCTGCCTGAGGGTTCGAACTCAGAAAGTCACGTTAGCATGTGCTCTCCTACGAGACCACTCCTTCCCTTACAGGATTTCTTAGTCACTTTAGTTTTATATAATTCTTGCTATCTTTAAAGAAATGCAAAGTCAGCCAGGAATCGAACACAACTTTTCGAAAACTGGCAACCAACCCTCCCTCTAAGGTAAATAAACCGAGAGTGATCTCCCCTAAACTCTCTCGAATATTCTTATATAACTTGGAATATAGACATGATTTTTAATTACTTAAACTTTTAAAAATAGAATAGAATCTCATAGAAAAAAGAATTGCGCACCAAGCGAACGGCAAAACAAAATGTGCATCATAGTGCGCAATATTATTAGTACTTTATAAATTTACATGCCTTTTATGAGAAATCGGAAATAGCGTAAATTAGTACTTCCGGTCAACGGAAATTACTCAAAATTTGACAGAAGGTAGAGAATTAGATCTTTTACTAACATGTGAAATTTCATTTATCTATCTGAAATAGTACTCAAGTTAAAGGCTTTTGAAAAATTCAAAGTAGAAAAAGTACCACTTCCGGTTATCGGAAATCGCTCAAAAGTTGATCAGCATCTACGATTTTGATAAAATACTTATATATGAAATTTCATCAACCTAGCTGTAACGGTACTCAAGTTATCGTGTTTACACACAGACAGACACACAGACATACGGACAAGATTGCAAAATTATGTTTTTCAGTATCAGTCAGGTGTAAAACGACGAGATTTGTAAAAATCTCGATTATTTTTTTTGCATGATTACAAGGCTGTCTCTATACTTCGTATATACGAGAAAGTAAAAATCTAGTGTGCAACGTGTAGGCCCTATTTTGTGTGTGCGGTGTTCTAAAAGTCTTATACAAAGTTATACGTATTTTAGAAAATGACTGCGCGGCAATTTTCAAACTACTGCGCGGCCGCGCAACCGCGCAGGTTTAAGGAAACATTGCTGGCAACACAAACAGAGAAACTCTACTACACCTGCGCTGTTTATCATAATCTATGACGTCATAATCTATCATCTAGCAATACTGACGTCATAGTCTATGACGTCATAATCTATCATCTAGCCTTAATGACGTCATAATCTATCATATAGTCACATCGATTCTCTCATTCAGCCCTATAACCCCACCAAACAGCCACTTCTATGTATGAGTTAGTTTCATAGAAAAAATAGCACCATTAGCGCAGCTGAAATATGTAAAGAAGACCTGTTATTGTTTTTTTTTTACTATATCAAAGAACTCTATAATCAAACTTGTCAATGCTGTGTTATTTGTCAGCACAGGGAAAGGGGGGTAATCCGGATTAAATATAAACCCCAGACTAGCATTCACGTGATCTATTGTTATCAAACACACTCAGACACACACACAGACAGACACAGACACACGCACACACACACATACACAAACAGAAGAATATATAAGCACAAACAAACCAAAACAAACCCAAGCTGGCTATAATAAAAAAAACAAAAATAAAGGACATGAACCTGTTAAGATAATAATCTATTGTGGGTGTCGACATTGGCCAGGGAAACTCAATATGGGTCTCAGTGGCGTAGCGAGGTCGGGTGTCACCCGGTGCGGCACTTAATGGTGTCTCCCCCCAGAGGCGTAGCGACCCTTCCCGGTAACAAACTTTCAATTTTTTTAATTTGCACCCCCCCCCCTCAAACTTTCGATTTGCACCCCCCTCAAGTTTTCGATTCGCACCCCCCTCACACTTTCGATTTGCACCCCCCCCCCAAGTTTTCGATTTGCACCCCCCTCAAGTTTTTCTCTATATATTTTGCTATTTTTTGCCTTGGTGTCACCCGCCTAAATGGTGTCACCCGGTGCGGTCCGCACCCCCGCACCCCCCCCCCCCCCTCGCTACGCCTCTGATCGGTCTATTGTCGTAGCTATCTCAGCCTTAAACTGTAGAGGGTTAAAAGAAAATATGGAATACAAGAAAAACAATCACGTAAACACGAAATGGATCATGGGAACAGATAAAAACAATGACGGGAAACACAATGTCCCTGTTGTGTTATTTTGTGTATGTTAGTTTACATAAGCAGCAAAAGCGCCATACAAAGACAGTATATTGATTTCTTTATTTTCTTTTATTTTCAGATCTGGGGTATTTTTTTTTTCATAACAGAAGACAGTGGGCAAGATTGAACTGTTCTTTTCTTAGGGTTAAATTAGGTGTAAGCATGGAAAAATACACACGCGAACAAACACACAAGAACTCACACACAGAAACACACAGGAATAAAAACACGAATACACACAAACACACTATAGCTTTCACACAAGCTCACTCAGGCCCACACACTCACACCTAACACAATACAGGTGTCTACATGACAAGTTGTCTGCGTAGTCATGGAAACCACAGACAAACAGATATATTGTCCAAGACAAGGCTAGGTCATTAGATAGATTTATCAAATGTCTTGTTATAATTTCTAAGCACTTATAGGTACATTCATGGTCGAAGAAGGTGTCAAAGGTAGTGTTAGAGGAGGTGTCAGAGGGGTGTCAGAGGAGGTGTCAGAGGGGGTGTCAGAGGAGGTGTCAGAGGAGGTGTCAGAGGTGTCAGAGGGGTGTCAGAGGAGGTGTCAGAGGAGGTGTCAGAGGAGGTGTCAGAGGGGTGTCAGAGGAGGTGTCAGAGGAGGTGTCAGAGGTGTCAGAGGGGTGTCAGAGGAGGTGTCAGAGGAGGTGTCAGAGGAGGTGTCAGAGGAGGTGTCAGAGGAGGTGTCAGAGGAGGTGTCAGAGGAGGTGTCAGAGGAGGTGTCAGAGGAGGTGTCAGAGGTTTCAGAGGGGTGTCAGAGGAGGGGTCAGAGGTTTCAGAGGGGTGTCAGAGGAGGTGTCAGAGGAGGGGTCAGAGGTTTCAGAGGGGTGTCAGAGGAGGGGTCAGAGGTTTCAGAGGGGTGTCAGAGGAGGGGTCAGAGGTTTCAGAGGGGTGTCAGAGGAGGGGTCAGAGGTTTCAGAGGGGTGTCAGAGGAGGGGTCAGAGGTTTCAGAGGGGTGTCAGAGGAGGGGTCAGAGGTTTCAGAGGGGTGTCAGAGGAGGTGTCAGAGGAGGGGTCAGAGGTGTCAGAGGGGTGTCAGAGGGGTGTCAGAGGAGGTGTCAGAGGAGGTGTCAGAGGAGGTGTCAGAGGAGGTGTCAGAGGTTTCAGAGGGGTGTCAGAGGGGTGTCAGAGGAGGGGTCAGAGGTTTCAGAGGGGTGTCAGAGGAGGTGTCAGAGGAGGGGTCAGAGGTGTCAGAGGGGTGTCAGAGGGGTGTCAGAGGAGGGGTCAGAGGTTTCAGAGGGGTGTCAGAGGGGTGTCAGAGGAGGGGTCAGAGGTTTCAGAGGGGTGTCAGAGGGGTGTCAGAGGAGGGGTCAGAGGTGTCAGAGGGGTGTCAGAGGGGTGTCAGAGGAGGGGTCAGAGGTTTCAGAGGGGTGTCAGAGGGGTGTCAGAGGAGAGGTCAGAGGTTTCAGAGGGGTGTCAGAGGAGGTGTCAGAGGGGTGTCAGAGGGGTGTCAGAGGGGTGTCAGAGGAGGGGTCAGAGGTTTCAGAGGGGTGTCAGAGGGGTGTCAGAGGAGGGGTCAGAGGTGTCAGAGGGGTGTCAGAGGGGTGTCAGAGGAGGGGTCAGAGGTGTCAGAGGGGTGTCAGAGGGGTGTCAGAGGAGGGGTCAGAGGTTTCAGAGGGGTGTCAGAGGGGTGTCAGAGGAGAGGTCAGAGGTTTCAGAGGGGTGTCAGAGGAGGTGTCAGAGGGGTGTCAGAGGGGTGTCAGAGGGGTGTTAGAGGAGGTGTCAGAGGGGTGTCAGAGGAGGTGTCAGAGGGGTGTCAGAGGAGGTGTCAGAGGGGTGTCATAGGTGTCAGAGGTAGTGTGAGAGGTGTCAGAGGGGGTGTCAGAGGAGGTGTCAGAGGAGGTGTCAGAGGGGTGTCATAGGTGTCAGAGGTAGTGTGAGAGGTGTCAGAGGAGGTGTCAGAGGAGGTGTCAGAGGAGGTGTCAGAGGAGGTGTCAGAGGTGTCAGAGGTGTCAGAGGGGTGTCAGAGGAGGTGTCAGAGGAGGTGTCAGAGGTGTCAGAGGGGTGTCAGAGGAGGTGTCAGAGGAGGTGTCAGAGGGGTGTCAGAGGTGTCAGAGGGGTGTCAGAGGAGGTGTCAGAGGTGTCAGAGGGGTGTCAGAGGTGTCAGAGGTGTCAGAGGGGTGTCAGAGGAGGTGTCAGAGGGGTGTCATAGGTGTCAGAGGTAGTGTGAGAGGTGTCAGAGGGGGTGTCAGAGGAGGTGTCAGAGGAGGTGTCAGAGGGGTGTCATAGGTGTCAGAGGTAGTGTGAGAGGTGTCAGAGGAGGTGTCAGAGGAGGTGTCAGAGGGGTGTCATAGGTGTCAGAGGTAGTGTGAGAGGTGTCAGAGGGGGTGTCAGAGGAGGTGTCAGAGGAGGTGTCAGAGGGGTGTCATAGGTGTCAGAGGTAGTGTGAGAGGTGTCAGAGGAGGTGTCAGAGGAGGTGTCAGAGGAGGTGTCAGAGGAGGTGTCAGAGGTGTCAGAGGTGTCAGAGGGGTGTCAGAGGAGGTGTCAGAGGAGGTGTCAGAGGTGTCAGAGGGGTGTCAGAGGAGGTGTCAGAGGAGGTGTCAGAGGGGTGTCAGAGGTGTCAGAGGGGTGTCAGAGGAGGTGTCAGAGGTGTCAGAGGGGTGTCAGAGGTGTCAGAGGTGTCAGAGGGGTGTCAGAGGAGGTGTCAGAGGGGTGTCATAGGTGTCAGAGGTAGTGTGAGAGGTGTCAGAGGGGGTGTCAGAGGAGGTGTCAGAGGAGGTGTCAGAGGGGTGTCATAGGTGTCAGAGGTAGTGTGAGAGGTGTCAGAGGAGGTGTCAGAGGAGGTGTCAGAGGAGGTGTCAGAGGAGGTGTCAGAGGAGGTGTCAGAGGAGGGGTCAGAGGTTTCAGAGGGGTGTCAGAGGGGTGTCAGAGGGGTGTCAGAGGGGTGTCAGAGGAGGTGTCAGAGGGGTGTCAGAGGAGGTGTCAGAGGTGTCAGAGGGGTGTCAGAGGAGGTGTCAGAGGTGTCAGAGGGGTGTCAGAGGTTTCAGAGGGGTTACAGAGGGGTGTCAGAGGAGGGGTCAGAGGTTTCAGAGGGGTGTCAGAGGGGTGTCAGAGGGGTGTCAGAGGGGTGTCAGAGGAGGTGTCAGAGGGGTGTCAGAGGAGGTGTCAGAGGTGTCAGAGGGGTGTCAGAGGAGGTGTCAGAGGTGTCAGAGGGGTGTCAGAGGTGTCAGAGGGGTGTCAGAGGTGTCAGAGGGGTGTCAGAGGAAGTGTCAGAGGTGCCAGAGGAGGTGTCAGGGATATTCAGAGATAAATTCTGAGTACGAGTTTGTCTTCACAACAATTAAGTCAAAGGTTATAAAATAACGATATTAGTTGTAAAAAAATCGCTTTTATTACTATTGGGTTTTGGGTCCAAGACCACGTTGGGCTATATTATATGGTCAAAGCTGCTCCGATACTTTACGCCAAAGTTCCAATCCTACATTAGTCAACGTTTTAATCCTACATTGGTCAAAGTTCCAATCCTACAAAGTTTCAATCCTTGGTCAAAGTTCCAATCCTACATTAGTCAAAGTTTCAATCTTACATTGGTCAAAGCTTTAATTGAACGATGTTAAGAGCCCCACATACCACATGGACCATGATTCAAACACTTTAGGGTTAATGTTGCAAACATTCCTTTGTCTAAGCTCTAAACCAGTGGTTCGATCGAACCCCAGGGGATTAATGAGTCAGTCTCATGTGTTTGGCTGAGGTCAAGACACACTCAAGTCAAAAGATATACGATCAGATATTGTCAGTTTTGACGATAGAGTTATAAGAAGGTTTTGATGAATACTGTCGGGGTTCGGTACCTCATAAGAAGGTAAGAGCCACTGCTCTAAACTATCACAGCTTCTATCGTACTACTTTCAAAAACACAGCAACCATCTATATCAAACATTCATGTATGTTGCAACAATAGTTGAATGTAACTGGTGTTGATTTACAACATGGGTAAAGCTGTGTCATTGTTGTACAAGTACGCCCTGCCATCGCTGTAAATCTGCTCTTGGGTTGGTGGTACTCTGTGACGATATACGTGATGTGGGTCCGGACTCAATCAGTGGGCTGAGCTGGCAACCGCTGTAGGACCTAGACCGTAAAATGTCATACAAACATCAAAAAACTTTAAAAGGTGTCAGATTTTTTGTCAATATACAGGTTCACAAAACTTAATTGAAATGAGTGTCATTTATTTAAAAAAAAAATCAAAAAGTCTTTTCTGACTTGATTACAGTTAACTTCTATAAGACAGTTACCTACTAGCCGTAAAATGCCTTTAAATTAAATTGACAAACACGATAACACAAATATATCTGCTATATTGACATTTCAGGAGACACATGGACCTTCGTTTAAAACTTGAAAGATGTTGCTGCAAAACGAAGTGATAAACCCCATTTAAACCTAGTTATTTTTACATATTTTTAGAGCAATGAAAAATATCCTACCAACTTTTTAATCAACATGTGTTTAAATAACTCGTTTTTAAGCAGATTGTTATACATTTGCTTTATGTTTAGGATTACGATTATGGCGACAGTTAGTACTTAGGTTTTAGTTTGTTCTAAGGACAGTGTTAGTTTGTTAGTTTACTGGGTACTGATTTCAACTAACAACCTTCCCTTTCATTGCAACTGAATTATCATACATTTAATGATACAACAGGCCTACACTGTACCTTGCTAAAATTATTCTATCGTATTTTCCATTGTATAAATGCTAATTTCTAGATAGACAATGGAAAAACAGTGTCTGTGCTTAATTTAAAACCATGTGACGTATTACAAGCACAGTAACCTCAACACATCAACCTATTATTGCCCTATTTTCTTCTAACAACCTAAGATTTACAACCTTCCACCCCCACTCTCTCTCAAAGTAAACTCGTCCAACGGGGAGTCAGCTCAACAGCACAGTCTAATGGCACTTAATGACGTGTCTCAATCTCAGACCGGCCCTCAATATCGTTTTATGACTGCTTCAGGTGCCATCTCCCGGCTGTTAATTTCCCAGACAGCACTTGGAGAAATGAGGCTCTGGAATTGTTTCAATTGTTTTATAACAGGATCACTGGCGCAGGGAGAAGGAGACGACCTTTAAAAAAATATGGACGGACTTTTTAAGGTGACCTAGACTAATGAGACAAGGTGACATTTTAGACTGGGTTCGTCAATGACGTCAAACTGATTGGGCAGGTAATTAGTTTTTGGACAAGTGGCGGATAAGTGTTGGTGTGACTAGGGCAGGTTGTAATGGGGCGGGGGCTTAGGGGCAGGCAATGAATGAAGGGGGGGGGGGGTGGGGCCTGGCTAGGGGCAGGTAATAATAGGGGGGTTTAGGGGCAGGCAATGAATGGAGAGACTAGGGACAGGCAACCATTTGGGGGTTTAAGGCAGATAATTATTGGTGGCTCTACTTAAAGTACGGGCAGATTATCATTGATTTTTGTAGGAAAAGGCTAAAAGGCAGATACTCGTGAAATCCAGTGGCACTTGCCTGAATAAGACACCTAGATCGATGCAGTTTATGTGTATTTATCTTAATATCTCTATGAAATAAAAGACATAATGTTTACAGTTGCTGTTCAATATTTTATTATATTTACATTAAATATTTATAGTTATATTAAACTCTCCATGATAATAAATGAAATTAGTTTTGCTGTGTGAATTAAGCTCACAGGTTATTGGTCCAATTAAGTAATAACAATGTGGTAGAATTATATAATGCATTTTAAAAAAAAATTAAAATATGAAATTTCATATACCAATTTAAATGAGATACAGATAATATAATGTTTAACCTCTAATAGTATACAACGGTTAAAAAAAAATTGGTTATAGGCCTAATTGTTTACGTGAACCATTTTTATAAAAAGGAAAAAAAATATTTTTTAATTTTTTTTATCAAAGGCAAGATAATATAGATTCCATTTTTTAAATATAAAATTAAACAAAGTTAAAGAAGTCAGCGTTATATAGGACCTATATAAAACGTTAAGCCACGTTTGAGGATTAACGCGAACACTACGAACAATACCACATAAATCACACAGCATGTGACAGTGTTGGCAGGTCACGTGGTGAACGTATGGGTCTCCTGGGACTTTCCACCATACATGTATGTTGTTTGCATATGCCGTGGTGAACTTATGGGTCTCATTGGTTTTCTACCATACATGTATGTTGTTTGTTTATGCCATACAGTCATGCAAATTTATAGCCTTGGGTTAGATATTATACCTTTATTTCTTCTTGCGTTCACATTAAACGCCAAGGTATATGTAGACTATTGTCTTTGAAATTGGTAATCTTAAAACATGCAGTCATCATCATTATTATAATCTTAGGTCTTTGTTTCGTCTAGTGTTCAAATTTATAACTCAATTTTAGACTTTTGTTTTTTAAAATAGTAATCCCAAAATCAGCCAGTCATCATCATTATAATTCCTTTTGATCCTGTTAAGTAACTTAGTGTCTATGTAATAACCAACCCTCAACTCATGCACATATTTTACAGCTTTCAAGAAGAGATAAGGACTATTCTAGTTGTGATAGCAAAAGTCTAAATGAAATCGTTTAATTAGGCCCTCCCATGTCTCCTGCATATCTTTTAAGATTTTCAAGAAGAGCAGTAAGTCTATGCTATTTGTGATCGCGAAAGCCTGATGAAATCTTTTAACTACATCTGATCGTATAAGTCACCTCCGATTGCAATTATTTCGCTGCTTTTCTTAGCACTTCAAAGTTCGACAAAAATGACATCAGAGTCTCTCTATGGGGTATTACTTAATGCATTTTGTAATTCAGAAATAATATGAAGTGGAACATTCCTTTCGGTGTATTAAAACATTTGAAAAAAAAATGAACTACTTTTATTATAGCATTATCATGCGCCTACTGAAGTGACGCGTTTGTTTACAGAACAATGACGGTGAACTCCGACCTCACACCCACCCGAACTATGGAGAGTCCAACCAAAATTAGGTTGGTTCAAGGTTATTTTAGGGACCCGAACCAAACAGGTTTTTTTTTTGTTTGCACATGTCAACGTTATATAACAGTTACCACCCATGCTGCACCTACCCAACCATCCCACCTACCCAACCATCCCACCTACCCAACCACCCCACCACCAACCTCCCTACCCCACCTCCCAACCACACAACCCCATCACCCCACCCCACCTCCCAAACACCCGACTTTTATATAGGTTGTATCTTGTATAATAAACTGGATGACCACATTTTAAAACGAGGTTGGGGGGTGGGAGGGGGGGGGTGGGGATGGAACCACTCTCTGAACTTGAGCTCTTGTTTACGTTAGCTAGTCTATACACACGTTCACATTGGCGATTACATGGCAAGGGAGGTCATTCTGTTAACACACGATTAGAAGACTAATCTTTCTGGTCATTTTAGTTCATGCATAAGGGGACACCATTCAAATAAAGAATATGTCACCAACGTTTCTCTGTGCTGCAATGTTAATATTCTTGAACTTTAAAATAATATTTTGCAGTTTCATCATCATCGTCATTTCTCGTTCGTGCCCAAGACACATGGGGCAGATGAAGTAGAGTTCTAATGCTTCAGAGACTTCGTCTAATGAACGGATAGCGGGATCGGCATTATGCTCAGCCGCCTTTATTTCCCTACCGCTAGGCCACGCCATGCATTTGAGTACAGCGTTTCTTCCAGACATGTTTCTCCGGGGGGGGGGGGGGGATTGAAATTTTCGTAGGGGGACGGACACACTTTTAAGGGGGGGGGGGCGGGTCACTGTTAAAAGTATACATTTTCTATATAAATTCCATTGCGTTCGGGGGGGGGGGGGGCGGTAGACTGGAAGAAACTCTGGTTGAGTATTGTTTATAAATAAGTGTAGGAGTGAAATGTCACGTGAACTCAGACATATATGAGGTCACCCCATGACAATATTGACAAAAAATAATTTTACTGGCTCTACCTAATAACTTATGGTTACCTGTAACCTACACTATAACGACTGGTATTTCAACGCTTCGGTAATGACCAGAATAGATTTATATAGGATGCAATCAAATCAACTTAATTAACAACAGCCTCGTTTTGTATTGTGATGACGTCAAACACCACTTCCGAAATTCTAAAGAAAAAAACCATTGACACCGATAGGATACAGGACTGAAGTTTTATGACTTGTGGGAAAAGTTTTGAGGTCAAAATCTGAAAGTTAAAGTCAAACGTGTCACTATATGTGTGGCAGTATGTGTGTTTGTATACGTCTGTGGTAGTGTGTGTGTGAAGATGGTGGGTGGGGGCAGAGGTGTAGCGATCCATTCCAGCGCCCGGGGCGAACTGTCAATTGTATGCTCCCTTCTCAGTTATATTCATTCATGTTAGTGAAAAATCGCCCCCCCCCCCAACCAGTTGAAAAGGTTAGTTGTCGCTTTTTATCAATCGTTACTTTTTGCTTTGGTGCCATCCCTTTGATTGTATAATTCTAATACGTCAGCTTTAAAAGAGCTTTTAACTTTTTCTCTACCCCTTTAGTCGCCCATTTATGTTCGGGGCCCAGGGCGGCCACCCCACCCATCCTCCACTAGCTACGCCACTATGTGGGGGTTTGTTAATGATGTCATAGATCGTAAATCAATGGTGATTTATCTGGAGTAGTAAATGCCACGCGACAGGTAGCTTACCAATGGGGGACAACTCAAAGTTTTTGTATTGAAATAATATTATCTCTCAAGTTATGAACGAACAAATGGTCACTTCAAATTACTAAACAAATCAATACATAAACCTAAACAAAGAAGATTAAAAACAATTGGGAAGATGAATTAGAGTTATTTGCTGTCTTGACCACGGCATATAAATAGATGGTGTGGTTAGCCCAAAGCTGGGGCCGCTATTACCTAATTTAAGTATGTCAAACAGGCTTACAAATCAGAGCTTGGAGAACTCTAAGACAACCTGCAGACTGAAGACCCGAACAAGGCGTTAGTAACGGTCAAGCGCTCTTCTACCGAACAGGTATAGGAGATACAACAACATATATATATATATATATATATATATATATATATATATATATATATATATATATATATATATATATATATTATATAACGTGTATTAATAGCTATAGATCCTGGAAGACAGATAACGTAATAACCCAAAACGTGTTTTGTTTAACTGGCATTGAAGTAATGTGTCGGGTCTAAACTTATGTTCTATGACATGTATTATAGGATGTCCACCCAGAGTTTCTTCCAGGCCTTTCTTCGGGGGACCGAAGAACGTCTAACGCCCCCCCCCCCCCCCCAACGAAATAGAATTTATATAGAGAAATATATACTTTTAACAGTATCCGCCCCCCGGAAATTGAGTCCGCTCCCTCCCTCACCGAAAATTTAAAGTGCCACACCCCCCTCTCCCGGAAAAAAAAAGTCTCAAAGAAACACTTTGTCAGCGTAATTAGCAAAATCAAGAAAGGAAACAGCAATTATGATAAGTACGGACAAGGACACCCGTTCAGTTATTGTACGAGTAAAAGACCTAACGTCTAAAGGGATATTTTACCATAAACAACATTGGTTTAATCAAAGGAAAATTCGATAACTAAAAGGGTTAATTATTTTATTAAAATAATCGGATGGTTGAGAATACCGATTTCCGAAATTAGGTGTTAGGTTGTCAGTGGTATTGTAGTCTCGACTAGATTTATGGTTAGGACTCGGGTTAGGGTTTGGGTTAGCATTGACATGTGTGTATCTAGTTAACTACGAGTAACCTAACACCCCCCTTTTAAGAAGATTCTATTATCTGACAACATGTTTTAAAAAATCACCAAAATAATCTTATTTCCCATAACGTTTATGTTTGAAAATTACTTTAGACGTTACAATCAGAGTTTCTTACAGGAATCTACTCGGGGGGGGGGGGGGGGGGGGGGATAGGGGGGGGGGGGATCGACCGTCTTCCGCCCCCCGGACGAAATAGAATTTACACTGTAAATACATACTTTTACCAGTATCCGTAGTGAAAATTTAGTCCGCTCCTCCCCCCCCCCCCCCCGAAAATTACAAGTGCTCATACGGAGAAAAAAGTCTGAAAGAAACACTTGTTACAATAATGATGTAATAATTCTCTTTTTATCTGAACGATTGAGATTTGCTTACCTAATCCTAACTCCACTAACCTTAGATTAAACTACTCATATGGAAACAACTGTAGTACATCCAAACCAAAATTATTATTTATTTTAAAAAAAGGAACTATCTCAGACTTTTTCTTTGAACCCTACTCCGGCGTTACCTTTATTAAAGCAACCCCAGGAAGTGCACTTAAAATATTGTAGACAGACCGGCCTCACATTTCTACACTTCACAGCACTAAACAGACGAGATCGCTTTGAAACATTCAGAAATTAGTTTCAGGCGACCCCATGGCGACCATTACCCAACATACATTGCGTTTAAATTCTAAAGTAACGGAAAATCCCGAAAACGCCGTGTCTTTAGTGCCTTCATGGCCATTTTTTTTTTAAATTCATATTTTAATTTTAATGTTTAGCACTTTTCTGTTACATAAGCCACTAGTGCGGAGTGCATCGTTATATTTAAGTTCTTCTGCTCATGGAAATGTGGGCAAGGACTTTCTTACACTCTCTGTATATATATATATATATATATATATATATATCTATATATATATATATATATATATATATATATATATATATATATATATATATATATATATATATATATATATATTCACATTGCTAATTGTAACATGAGAACATTAAATTAAAAAAAAACATTTTGTTTCACACATGTGTCTTTACCTTTGTAAATTTTAGAACCTCTAAAACTAATAATGTCATAAAGTACGTCAACAAAACAATTACGTTCGTCCGTGTCACGCTAGAGTGCAGTAATGTGTCACGCTAGAGTGCAATCACGTGTCACGTTTGAATGCAGTCACAAGTCACTTAAAATTTCAGTGATGTGTCAAATTATAGTGCAGTCACGTTAGAGTGCAGTAATGTGTCAAAGATGTTGTGATTTCTTGTGGTATAGTAGACGCTGGTGTAATGATGTGGTGGTCGACGGTGTGGTTGATAATGATGTGGTTGTCGATGGTGTGGTTGATAATGATGTGGTGGTCGATGGTGTGTTTGATAATGATGTGGTTGTCGATGGTGTGTTTGATAACGATCTGGTTGTCGATGGTGTGTTTGATAATGATGTGGTTGTCGATGGTGTGTTTGATAATGATGTGGTTGTCGATGGTGTGTTTGATAATGATGTGGTTGTCGATGGTGTGTTTGATAATGATGTGGTTGTCGATGGTGTGGTTGATAATGATGTGGTTGTCGATGGTGTGTTTGATAATGATGTGGAGGGCGATAGTGTGGTTGATAATGATGTTGTAGTCGATGGTGTGGTTGATAATGATGTGGTAGTCGATGGTGTGGTAAAGGATGATGTGGTTGTCGATAGTGTGGTTGATAATGATGTGGTAGTCGATGGTGTGGTAAAGGATGATGTGGTGGTCGATGGTGTGGTTGATAATGATGTGGTGGTCGATGGTATGGTTGATAATGATGTGGTGGTCGATGATGTGGTTGATAATGATGTGGTGGTCGATGATGTGGTTGATAATGATGTGGTGGTCGATGGTGTGGTTGATAATGATGTGGTGGTCGATGATGTGGTTGATAATGATGTGGTGGTCGATGATGTGGTTGATAATGATGTGGTGGTCGATGATGTGGTTGATAATGATGTTGTAGTCGATGGTGTAGTTGATAATGATGTGGTGTTCGATGGTGTGGTAGATAATGATGTGGTTGTCGATGGTGTGTTTGATAATGATGTGGAGGGCGATAGTGTGGTTGATAATGATGTTGTGGGAGATGTTGTGGTTGATAATGATGTGGAGGGCGATAGTGTGGTTGATAATGATGTTGTAGTCGATGGTGTGGTTGATAATGATGTGGTAGTCGATGGTGTGGTAAAGGATGATGTGGTTGTCGATAGTGTGGTTGATAATGATGTGGTAGTCGATGCTGTGGTAAAGGATGATGTGGTGGTCGATGGTGTGGTTGATAATGATGTGGTGGTCGATGGTATGGTTGATAATGATGTGGTGGTCGATGATGTGGTTGATAATGATGTGGTGGTCGATGATGTGGTTGATAATGATGTGGTGGTCGATGATGTGTTTGATAATGATGTGGTGGTCGATGGTGTGGTTGATAATGATGTGGTGGTCGATGATGTGGTTGATAATGATGTGGTGGTCGATGATGTGGTTGATAATGATGTGGTGGTCGATGATGTGGTTGATAATGATGTTGTAGTCGATGGTGTAGTTGATAATGATGTGGTGTTCGATGGTGTGGTAGATAATTGTGGATTTAATGATGGTGTCGTGGACGCTTGTGTGGTCTCTGGTAGTGTAGCGGACGTTGGTTTGGTCTTTGAGGAAGTTGATTTACTGTTTAGATGACAGAAATGACAGGTATTAATAATGTATTAAATCAATACTAAACAGCACTGGAAACAATAATTTTATAATTATATGCATCAACGTATAAAGGCAGGGGCGAGGAGGTAGGTGTTTGATTTTGTGTGGGAGGCACCAGAGTGTGGAGTGTGTGTTTGAGGCAGCAGAGTGTGGGGTGTGTGTGGGAAGCAACAGAGTGTGAGGTGTGGGTGGGGTGAATGTAAACATTAGCCCAAGATCAATGCTCGACTGTAACACAAGATTTGGAAAACGACAAACCACAGAATTTCTCAATTAATTCCCGGATTTAGCCGACAAAACACGATGTTTTTCTATAAATTCCTGACCCTCGCCGACAATGTAAACTAAAGAATGATCTCTGGAACATTCTCCTGAACATTTATTCCAGTTAGACGTGAAACGTGAAACAAGTCACACACGGAGATCACATTACTCTAGGGATTAAGATTTGTTTCCGTTTGAACGAATTTCTTAATCCTTTGTTTTTGTCGATACCTCTTTAATCTCTGTGATTAATTGTTTTTTTTGTTGTTGTTTTTCTTTTTCAATTAAATCTCGCTTAAATTATCGTAAATTTATTTCCCAAACAACAAAGATATATTTATATAATTTAAACGAATAGAGTAAATACAAACTTATTTACAGGATCAAAATGCTAAGATATATTTCCTAATTTAATATTGATATTGTTTGCGAATGTTAATTAGACCTACTAACACCTTTACTGCTAGTACACACCTTTAACAAGCAACGCGTCTGCATTGTATAAAGCCATTGAGTAAACCTTAAACACTTAATAAACACATACCAAAAATTAACAATGACAATATTTTCACAAATTTATCTGGAAACCTCTAAAAATAGAGTAACGGCGAGTGACATCGCAAACTCGGATGTTGATTTAGAGCTTTAAAATTTACGTTTGTAAAAAAAAAAAACGGAATCCTACGCATAATTCTATGAGGTGCAAATTTTTTAAACATCTAATTGGAGTTTCTAAAATTAAGAACAAATAAAAATGGTTAATTGCCGGAAGTGAAACTAATAAAATATGCTTCCGGTGTCGAGGTTTCACTAAGTACCGCAAGGAATGGCTGGCCAGTGTTTTTCGACAGTGGGGCGGGCTAGTTGCCCGGATGTCAGGATGTCTTCACCGTGTAGATAAATCAAACAGAGGGCAGTGGCCGAGATTCACACTTCCCCTGGAATAGCAACGAAGGGCTATTTATAGAAAGGTGCCTAATATAGACTAAGGGCTCTCAAATTATTTCTGGGATGGTGTCATATTATGGTGCGGAGTTTGTTGTGTAGCGATTCGGTACTCATAAATCGGTAGTTTATATTAATATCTATAAAATATAATTTACAGAAATGGGGGTATACTCATTTTGTCTATGATTCGGTTTTAAACATATAGTTAAAAACGAATTATGCCAGATAGGAAACATTTTTTCAGTAGTTGTATTTAGCTTTTTTTTAATACACTGTACGTTCCCTATATTTTTGTCTAATAACAGCCAATCAATATGATAATAATAAAGTATTGAAAACAGTTGTAACGCCATATTAACAACTCTTCAAAAAAATCTTACAGTAAAGAAAAGACGATAAAGACTTCTACTAGAAACATTGGATTACTAGCAGAAGTTTAATAGACAGACATCGCATTATGAAGCTTTGATATAATATGTATATATATATATATATCAAATCCTCGTGATGTTTGTCGTATTACATTTTTCTATAGAAAAAAAAGACATTTTATTGTGTTGTATGAAATGTACATGATTAAATATGGGTGTCCCTGTAGTTTTTACCTCCTTGAGGTAATGAAGGCAGTGGCGTAGAGCGTCGTAGAGTAAATGGGTACGTAAAGTATGCCCTATAGAACGCCACTACGCTTCTGTTTGATATATCTAAATTATAGCAGGGTGTTGAACGATCGATTACATATCAGCTTGTACCTCGTTCTTAATTCTAATGTTGGAAGGGATTCCCTCAAATACAATTAGTGTCAACTTATTATGCGCCATCTGATCTTAAACGTCGTTATAAGGGCTATTAAATTAGAAACACTATGCGACTATGTAGGGGAAAATTGAATAAATGCACAGAAAAATCACAATCGCAAGCAATTACTGTGTGTTAATTTGTCAAGATACGTGTGTTCTTTAAAGCTTACAGCAATTTAAGACATAAAACACGTGTTTTAAAATACTAGATAATAGCACACAGGTCGAGCATATACGTCAATTAATCAGGCAATTGATGTTAAACAGTAAAAAACATAGATAAACAAACGTAAAAATACTTTTAAAACATGAATCATCAAAACACATAAAAGAAAAAAGCTGTACAATCGGGAAACTTATCCTTTGAAGCAGGCAATGCTCTGTACTGATTGGTTTTGCTATTGCATTGAGACGTGAACAAAGCAGTATGTAGTCCATATTATGTTGTTGAGCAAAAATCTTTAAAGAAATAAAAAAGAAACGCCCACAAACAAGATCATATTCTACAAATAACAAACATATTTTGGAAATTAGTAATGTGATGATACTCCCTTTGGAGTACTGAGTGTTAGATCTTAGCAGAGGAGAAGAGAGGTGGAGGGGGGGGGGGGGGGCGGAGGAGAGAACCGCAACGGATGACACTAATTAGGGGGGTGACACCATGGCAAAAAAATAGCAAAATATATACAGAGAAATGATAATTCCACTTAATTAAATTATTAATCAGTGTAAGTTAAATAGTCTAATAAGAGCAAAGCTGAAAAATCCCGACAAGGGTGAAGAGGGGATTATATCAACTCAACGATGCCTACGGAAAACAGTTTGGTTGAGAATCGTAATAACGTATGTGTTAATCCATGTATGGGTCGGGGGGGGGGGGGGGGGGAGTAAAAAAAATTATAACATAAAAAAACATATATTTAAATACATATACACATACTTTTACACGTGTATATGGAATATATATATATATATATATATATATATATATATATATATATATATATATATATATATATATATATATATATATATATATATATATGGACATGTCCCCTCCCCCATGACCGGAAAACCCAGTATATGCCCTTGAATGTTGAGGACTACTCTATAACTGTCAGTTTGATGAGGCCAACCTTCCAACAGCCTTGCCGGTTTTTTGAGAAAGTCACCTTCAAATTTTTATTAGCTTTCGTCTAATTTATAGGTCAGAATTATTTTTAGCTTAAAACCCGGTAATTAAACACCCATAATTCATTTAGTGGGATTACACGGCACTTGTGTTGACCGATCTGCATGTAGGATCTAGGATCTGATTCAAAAGATGGCGGACGTTTTGCCACAAGGAACATGTCAACTCGCCGATTGTAAAACACGTAAAATTACCGGGGTCATCTGAATAACTTGACCTCTCCGCCCAGCCCTACCCTTGTTGTGTTTTGATGTCGTCTTTAGCTTGACGGATGGGCTGTGGGGGTTGAAGACAAGGGGATGTAATCCGTCAGTCTTAAGGTCTGATGTGTGTTGTGTCGTGGACAGGAGAGCGACTTCTTGGAGGTTGGTGTTGTCTACAGTGGAGGTTTTACACAGGGGTGTGTTGAACATTTGGAACACGGACGTCTCATATGTGTCATTGGGAATCAGGTCACCTCCTACATGTCAAAAGGTTTTAGGTCACCTCCAGCATGTCAAAAGGTGTTTGGTCACCTCCTGCATGTCACTGGATGTCAGGTCACCTCCTACATGTCAAAAGGTGTCAGGTCACCTCATACATGTCAAAAGGTGTCAGGTCAACTCTAACATGTCAAAAGGTGTCAGGTCACCTCCTACATGTCAAAAAGTGTCAGGTCACCTCCTACATGTCAAAAGGTGTCAGGTCACCTTCTACATGTCAAAAGGTGTCAGGTCACCTCCTACATATCAAAAGGTGTCAGGTCACCTCCTACATGTCAAAAGGTGTCAGGTCACCTACGTGTCAAAAGGTGTCAGGTCACCTCCAGCATGTCAAAAGGTGTCAGGTCACCTCCTACATGTCAAAAGGTGTCTGTTCACCACCTAGATGTCAAGGGTGTAGGTCATGTTGTATCATGTAACTTACCTTAGGTCAATGAGTATCACGAGAACCACTACAATGGTGCCGAGTTTATTTATCGTTCTAAAACACAACAATAAACCTCATTAATACAGATTAATAAAATTAATAAAACAATTGAGTGGCACTAATTATCTTTGCCGCCAATGAGCGACGGATCTTACCTGTAAAATATTACCCATTATTTACTAAGGCTTACAATTAAAACTTTTCAAAACCAGTTTTACATAATTTCTCAATTGAATTCATAGAAACTTCTAGCACAGATAGGGGACGGAGTGGTCTAGCGGTAGAGAGCTGGACTGCTAACCTGTAACCTGAGACCCTGAGTCCACCCAGCACTGATGGGTACCTAACTCACGTTAGGGAAAGTAAAGGCGGCTGGGCAAAGTGCTCACCACCCTATATCTTCATAAGCCGAGGTCACAGAAACCAGTAAACTCTACTTTACTTGCCCTATAACCGTCAGGTTTGAAAGGGAGCTTTACTTCTAGCATAGATATACCGTTTGTTCTGGTTGCCATTTGATTGAAACTAGATTTGTAGAAATGAAAAAAAATACTTTTCTTTAGCGCTTTCTTTGCTTTATGAAAAAGGAAAATAATTGTAGTATTAAATTATGTTTTTGGTGCTGATGAAAATATTAGAGTATTTCCTTATTTAACAATTTAAAAACACGATAAATAAATAAACTGAAAAAAAACAACAACTGACAAATTATTATAATGTAAAATTGTGGCGTTTATCATCATCCTATTTTCCCAAGACACGTGGGACATATGAAGTAGACTCTACTCAGTAGCGTAGCGAGGGGGGGGGGGGGGGCGGGGGTTGGAAAAATAAATTGACAGGTTGAGGGGGTGAAAATCGAAAGTTTGAGGGGGGAGGGGTGCAAATCGAAATCTCGAGGGGGGGGGTGCAAATCGAAAGTTTGAGTGGGGGGGGGGGGGGTGCAAATCGAAATCTCCAGAAGGGGGTGCAAATCGAAAAGTTTGTCCCCGGGCGCCGGGAAGGGTCGCTACGCCTCTGACTCTACTTCAGAGACCTCGGCATATGAAGGGATAGAGTGGCCAGCACTATGCACATGAGTTAGGTACCCATCGGGTTGGACTCAGGGACATTCTACTGACTTAAATCCGGATTCGAACTCGAGACTTTCGGGTTAACTGTCTAGCTCTCTACCATTCGACCACGCCGTCCCATTGCGGCGTCTATAGTGAAATTAAAATAAATTACTCTCGTCGTGTCGAGCAAAGTTGTCTCCCATCATTAGTGTTCAACCCTCTAGGGGAATCAACAATAATTTCTGGGCCAATGAGTCTGACACGCAATCAATTTCACAATGCGCGGTCACAAGAACCAGTTTCATTTTGAATTCCCATTTCCGGTGTTTCAAAGGCACTAAAATAGAGGCGGATTGTTCAACAGCTTGACGGTTACCAAGTTTGATTGCTTCAGTGATGTTAGTACTCGTTAAATTGTCTTAGTATTTGAGAGGTAAATGTTTTGATGTTTACATTATTGATACAATCATAAAATAAAGCAGTAAAGGGGCAGTATCACGTAAACCAAGGGAGAGTAGCAAAACAAACATTCAAAAAAGAAATCTATGAGAATAAACCTGTTAAAATTTTTATATTGTAGATTTTAATCTTTATGTTTAATACAGTATATAAAGATGTATTTATACATAATACAAAATTATTTGAAAATTATTGTAATGTATATTTTATATATACTATTATTCCAAATTACTATTTAACAATTTCACATTTGACATAAAGCTACCTAATATAATTACAAAGGTCTGTTACACAGTTTATCTACGTTTCGTTAATGTTGAATGTGCGCTAAACTTTTAATACTCTAATTCCTAAAAATACCGTTCAGGGAACCGACCAGCCCTCCCAAAACATCGAGTAAACCAACAAATTTGCGAAATCACCAGTCGTCACCGCAGCAACCAATAACACCACCAAAATCATCGGGAAAACTAACAACCACAGCTCAATCCCCAACCAGAAAGCCAACAACATCTCAAAACAAGGAAACAAAAAGCCCAATCGCAGAAACAGATCAAGCCCCGCCATCGAAAAGGAAAAGTAAAAATAGCCCCACGGAACAAGGCAAAATAATTAAAGAACAAAAACGCAAGGAAAGATTTTACAGCTGCTTCTTCTGCACCGAACATTTCCCAAAAATTAGGGAAACAAGAAACCATGAGAACACAATACATGCGGAGCTTAAACGGTGCACCATCTGCAAAAACCAAAAAGTCCACAA